GGAGCTGTGGACCAGCGGGGAGGCGGACGCGGCGGAAGCTGCGGCAGCTGGGCGGAAGTTTTTTGGACGAGCCCAGGGGCCCGCTCCGCGCCGCGCTAGAGGGGGACAAAGCGCATCGCACGACGCAGCTCGCTGAGGAGGTGGGGGCGGCCCACGGCAAAAAAAGACCCCGCGGCCTGTTGGGGGGGGGTGAAGAGGTTGATGAGGGCTGGCGGTTGGGTTCCCCCGAAGTATAAAGGCGCGCCCCCCCCCCCCCCCCCCCTCAGGGCGGACCCGAAGGGGCAGCCAGTGCTCACGCAGCAGCGTTGGGGCGAGTTGTTTTTTTGACATGTTTGCCGCGATTGAGGGGGCCAAGGTGATCCCTTCCGCCGAGTTGCGACAGCTTCTTGAACCCTCGGAGTTTGCCCTGCCCCTTGACTTTGAGCGCAGTATCGAGTATGTGCCGACGGTCCGTTGGGTCATTGATAAGCTACGCAAGCTGCCGCAGGGGAAAGCTCCAGGGCTGGGCGGGGCTACGTTTGACCTCCTGCGGGCCGCGCCACCGGAGGTAGCGAGGGTCTTGCATCCTCTGTTCACGAAGGTGTGTCCGGGGGGTGTCGAGCCGTCGTCGTTCAAAGAAGCCCTCGCCTGCGGTATTTACAAAGGTAAAGGGTCCTGGGGGATTCGGGAACACTTCAGGTCGGTGGCTCTAAATAATGCGGTGCCCAAGGTGCACTATGCCTTCGTCCGTCAGTGTATGAATAACTTTGTGTCCGATCTGTTGCGGGACTCACAGTGCGGCGGAATTCCACGCAGGGGGACAGCTTTCGCCACGCATGCCCTCTCGTCGTTCGTGCAGCATATGAAGCATGTGAAGAGGCCAATGTTTGTACCAATGCTTGATGTTGTGAGTGCCTTCTACAGCATGGTTCGAGAGCTCGTGATCCGGATGCCGTCGTCGAAGGAGGATCGTGCGGAGCTGTTGGGGACCATGGCTATCCCCGAATGGTTGGTGCCGTCGCTCAAGACGGCCCTAGCTGCCCCCCCCCCCATCTTGGAGGGGAGGGTGCCCCCCCACCTGGAGAGGCTTCTCGCGGAATCGAAGAGGGGGGCGTGGTCCTGTGTTGGCGATCCTTCGAGGGCTGCGGTGGCCCGCAAGGGTTCGAGGCCAGGCAATTCGTTGGCCGACTTCTTCTACAATGTCATGTTCACCCTCGTCCTGGGGGATGCGGAGGCGAGACTGGCCCATGAGGGCCTGTCCGTCACGCTAAGGGGGTCCCGAGCAGGAAGGAGTGCTGCTCCCTGTCCAACAACAGGACGGCACACTCGTGGATTCGACGCATGCGGATGACGCGGTCTTCCCGTGCGCGCCTGCCTCAAACGAGACACTCGTGCACGACACCCAGAAGGCTGTCTTAGCAGTGGTCAAGGCGGCGGGGGCGCACGGGTTGGCCTACAGTTTTAAACGCGATAAGGCAAAGGTTCTGGTCGCTATCAGGGGTAGGAATAAGCAGTGGACGGAGCGGCACCTCTTTGTTGAGAAGGGGGGGGGCGGGTGTACCTCGCCGAGCTTGATGCGCGCATGCAGGTGGTTCGGCAGGAGAAGTCCCTTGGCACTATTGTGTCGGGAGACTTGGATTGGGGCCCAGAGGTGGCCCAGAGGAAAGCTTCTGCTCTGGCCCCCCTGCGGCCGCTGACGCGGGCGGTGTTCAAGGCCCCGCAGATCCCCCTGGCCCCGAAGTTGCAGCTTGCGGAGTCCCTCGTCTTGTCTCGTCTTCTGTTCAATGCTGAGCTCTGGCACGGGGTCGGAGTCAAAGCATGGGCATCTCTAGAGGCTACATACACCGACGCTCTTCGGCGTGCACAGGTGGCGGATATGAGAGGCACGGCCGGTGAGAGGTCTGCCCCTTCCCTGGAGGAGGTGCTCTACGGAGCCGCGAGGGCTCCATTAGACAGCCTTCTGTGGTATCGGCGCCTGGTGTACCTCCCCCGCCTGCTGCGCAAGGCGCCCAGGCAGCTTCTCTGGGTGCTCGACGGCCAGTTCCAGCAGCAGGGCTCGTGGAGCCAAAGGCTCATCGGTGACATAGATGTTCTCAGGCAGTTCGCCCCCAGTGTGGAAAAGGCTGCCCCAGGCATGGCAGGAGGTGATAGCTCTTGCCAGGTCGTTCCCCCTAGAGTTCGTGCGCATTGTCCGTGTGGCGTGGAAGGGGCGGAGGTTCTTTTTGAGAGATGAGTGCCATCGGAAGATGTGGGGGCGTGAACTTTGCGCGACAGCCCTAGAGGCTGGCCCCCCCCCCCCCCTCGGACGGGCCCCCAGGTGTGAGCGGGAAGGGTTTCACTGCTACGAGTGCGGTCGGGCCTTCAAAACGGTCCAGGGATGGAAGTCGCACTTAAGCAAGGTACACCCCGAGCTAGACGAGCCTCAGCGGTTTGCTCACGGGTCGGCGTGTGCCGCGTGCTGCGCGGAGTTTCATGCGCGGCTGAGGCTCGCGAGGCACCTCAGGCACAGGTGTAGGGGCTGTCTTCCCGCATTGCGGGGCTTCTTCGCCCCTCTTTCTGATGCGGACCTTGTGGCCGCTAAGGATGATGACGCGACCGACAGTCGTCGGTTGCGCGCGGCTGGTTTTTACGAGGAAAAATCGCTGCTGCCTGCAGTCAAGATCTTAGGGCCTGGTATCCCTCTGGTGAGGGAGGTGGATGAGCAGGGCGAGGCTGGTGAAGCACCAGTCGGGGGCCCCGCTCATGACCCCCCCAGTGCTCTTGCAGATGAGGAAGCGGCCGCGGAGGCCGCCCCGCCCGTCCCAGCGCGCGCAGGTCCTGGAGATTAAACGGCCGAGTCGGCCGCCCTGGTCTCATCCGCTGAGGGGGAGGAGGAGGGCAGGGGGGATGCGGACGTGCATGCACGACACGGCCCTGACAGAGGGAGGCTCAGCTATTTTTTGTGCTGCATTTGTTCCCAGGAAGGAGGAGGTGAGGGGATGTGCAGCATTGGGTGGGGGAACTGAACGTGTGTGCGCAGGAGTCTAAACCCTTGTGGGCCCTTTCGCTGGACGTGGCTAACGACCGCGCGTGGGGGGACCTCTCGAGGCAGGAAACGATCCGCTACTGGCTTGGCCTTATGGCCTCGGGGGTTGTTGTAGCGGTGCTCGCGGGGCCGCCCTGCGAAACGTGGTCGGCGGTGCGGGTGCAGCAGTTAGAAGGGGGACAGGGTCCCCGACCAGTTAGGAGCCGCGCTCGGCCGTGGGGAGAGCGGGGCCTGACGGTGAAGGAGCAGCGCAAGGTCGAGATCGGGAACCTCCTTCTCAGAACGACGATGAGGTTTCTGACCGCCGCGGTGGCCACCAGGGTGAGCATGATTATGGAGCACCCTGCTGTCCCCCACTGGCAGCCACTGGCTGCATCGAGCTGGAAGCTGGAAGAACTGGCGTGGATCAGGGGTCTCCCAGGAGCCACCGCCCATGAATGCGACCAGTGTATGTTCTCGTGCGAGTATCTCAAGCCGACGACTCTGCTGTCGGTGAATATCCCAAGGTTCCAGCGGATGTTGAACAGCATCCCAGGGCGATGGAGGTGTCAGCATAGGGGGGGCCACCCCGCGGCCACAGGACGATCGGGGGACAATATCGGACCGCTTCTCTGAAGGAGTACCCATCAGCTCTGTCGCGTTTCCTAGCGATGGTTGTGTTAGATGCGGTTTCTCCAGGATTGCCTAATGGTCTGCCTGGCTGTGACATTCCGGAGGAGGCTCTGAACTTTTACGTTCCCCTCGACCCGTTTTATGAGTTTGTGCAGCAACACGACTGATTGCGCACTCGGCGGGGCGGTGAGGTGAGGCCCCTCCCTAATTCAACTCTCCTTTTCATCGGTGCAGCAGCAGCAGGAGGAGGAGCAGGAGGATCGCAGTGTCCAACAGTGGAGTCCGATGCCGTCAGTGACAATCACGGGGGAGGTGGATGAGGAGAGGGAGGATGAGGATGAGCGCAGTAAGGTGGAGGAGGGGGAGGAGGAGGCGTAAACAGGAGGAGGAGGAGGAGGAAAAGGAACAGTAGTAGGAGGAAAATGAGGAGGAGAAGGAGGAGGAATAGGAGGGGGGAGGGGGAGGAGGAGGAGGAGGAGGAGGAGGAGGAGGAGGAGGAGGAGGAGGAGGAGGAGGAGGAGGAGGAGGAGGAGGAGGAGGAAGAGGAGGAGGAGGAGGAAGGGGGAGGATGAGCAGAAGGAGTCAGTTGGTGGATCGAGGAAGAGGAGGGCGGGAGCGACGGTACGCGGTGCCTCGTCTGTTCGAACCCGCGCGGCCTCTCTGAACCCGCTCCCTGGGCAACAGGCTTCCTCGCGAACCGCAGTGAGGACTGGCCTCGCTACTGGCACAGGACAGAAAGCCACAGGGCCGAAGGCCGGGAGTGGCGGAAGCAAGGGTGGTCGAGGCTCAAGACACGGGGGTCGATGCAAACGGGAGTCAGTCACATCGCCTTTGCTTGCAGGATCCTGCAGAGCCAGGGTCGCACTGACCTGGGCTTGGGTGCAGGATCCTGCAGGATTTTGCAGAATCCTTCGCGTTGGCCCGGGTTCGGGTGCAGGATCTTGCAGGATTCTGCAGGGCCTGACTGACCCGGGTCTGGTTTGATTCGGATAAGAAGATCCCCGAGGTGGGCAAGGAGAAGGAGGAGGAAGATGGGTACTTCGATAGTTGATTAGGTGCGGCGCCGGGTGTGCGCGGCACCTAATCAATTGTCGCAGTACCCATATTCCTCCTTCTCCTTGCCCACCCTTGCTTCCTCCACTTCAGGCCTTCGGCCCTGTGGCTTTCTGTTCGGTTGGCGAAAGCCCGATCCGCGGCACTCCCGTGCGGTTCTAGGTTAAAGTCGGGCGTGTCCCTCTACAGGAGGAACATTCGAAAATAGCAAAACAAGTAGTCTGGGACGATTTGTTGATTCTTGTTTTGACTATTTTTAATTGTTCGTCCAGTATCCGCCTGCAGGGGGACATGCCCGACCTAACTCTAGACGGCCGATGTCCGGCGCGCCCGCGCAGGTTACCGCCGTGGCGTCGGTGGCCCTCTCGGCGGCCTCGCGCATGATCGAGGCCCGCACGCAGGATCGCGCGCCGCCTTCGGGCAGGAGGATGAGAGGAGAGACGTTCCCAGAGATTCGAACAGGGGATCAACTACAGAAGTGGTTTGCTCCACCATTCATTTTCCGCCGAAGATGCAAGACACGCGTAGAATCTTCGTAGATATATACGGGGCATTCTACGCATCTTCCGTCGATCCGGCGGGAGCATCAGTATTGGAGCAATGAATTACGTGGTCGACCCCCTACTCTTAAGTCGGGTATGTCCCTCTACAGGAGGATAGTCAAGAATAGTCACGAAATAGTTTGGGGACGATCTTTTGACTATGAGACTATTTTCGACGATTTTGGACTATCCGTCAATTGTCTTCAAAAAACCTGTAGGAGGTCATGCCCGACCTAACCCTACTCGAGAGATGCGAGGCTCGGAAAAAATGGGAGCGGCCGTTTCTTGAGCCGTGTTCGGCTTCTGGTGACCCTCCCTCCACGGGCCCCAGGACCGTGCAACAGCGGCTCGGGACGAAGAGCCAGTCCTGGGGATGTGGTCCAGACTTCCGGGGCCCCTCGCTTCGAAAACTCGCAGCGCCAGATGTCTCGGCTGGTGTCGGAGCAGGTGGAGTGGGGATGGGGGGGTGGGAGCTTCGGCGCCCCCTCCTCCTTCTCTTCCTCGTCGTCGTCGTCGTCCTCCTCCTCCGCCTCCTCCTCTTCGTGTTCCTGTTCCTGCTCCTCCTCCTCCTCCTCCTCCGCCTCCTCTTCGTGTTCCTCCTCATCCTCCTCCTTTTGGACGCTCGGCCTCCCTCCGCCACGGTATCCTCCTCCCCCCCGTCCCCTCCCCTGCCTCTCCTCTCCCTTTCCGCCGCCTCGTCGTCCCTGGATGGGGAAGAGCTGCTGGGAAAGAGTCTTGACATCGCTCGGACGCGTGCGTGGTTTCTCGGTGGGGACCATCGAGGAGCGTCCTGGCTCGTCTTGCAGACAAAAGCGCACGAAGCCGAAACATTGCACGGGGAGTGGACGTCCGAGCGATGGCCAGGAGAGTGCGAGGCGGAGGAAGATGGTAGGGGGGCGGCTTCCCCGCCCCTCGGCACGATAGAAAGGGGTACGGAACGACTGGGTACGAAAACCAATAGCAGTTCGTTGTCGGACAACCAACCAACCGACTGGGTACGGACGACTCGTGCATTTCGAACAAGACTCGTTGTCGGTGTCGCCGCGGACGCTGCTCACTGAAGGCACGATGTCGCCTGCCCAACTGCAGCCGTGCCAATGTTGGACAACATCTGCGGTTTGGCATCGTACACATTATTTCTCCGTGCCCAATTCGGACGCTGGCAAGCTGCAAGTCCCGTCCATATCAGCGGGCGCAGAGGGGCGCACAACAGAAACATATCTCGCGATCGGCGCCTGACCCAGGGCAGCTGGGTAGTATACATGGTCCGACTTGAATCAGGAAGACTTGCTTTTCGAAAGCGGCTCGGTCGTTCCTTGGGTTTGCATGCGTTCCGCTACCATTTGGGCGGCGAGCCCCCTGGTGTTCCTTGAGAGTTTGGACGCGCGGATTCGTTTTGTCGATGAGGGCGGCTGGAAAAACGGGACCTCGTAGACCTGCTTGGAACAAAAAGGGGCTTCGTTCCCTTATTTATCGTTCCTTTGGTCAGGACGAATCCTGTATACACCCCCACCTGCCACCATGTCGCAGGCCTGGAGGTTGACACCAACACCAAAACCAGCGGTGTGCCTCCACCGAGGGAAGAAGATCCCGATCTCGGTGATGGTGGTAGTATTCTGGCTTCCAAGGCGACCGAAGTATTACCACCAACACCGAGATCTAGGATCAGCTTCCCCCTGTGGAGTCAGACCCCCTGTGTTGCTGCTGGTGCCCACTTCCAGGCCTCCAGCACCTGCCACCGTGGGGGCAGGGAACCTTCCAGCCTCCCTGGGACCGGCGTCCCCGAGGAAGGAGCACTCTGCTCGCGCCCTTCGTCGCCCGCCGCTCGCCGTGACAGACACATGCCAGGAGGGAAAAACACACACGGACGCAAGGGATCGTCGATTCCCCAGGAAGTGTGGGGGAATGTGGGAAGTGGGGGGGGGGGAAGACGAGAGCCCAGAACATATGGGAGAAGTAGGGGGGATCCAGTTACTTGTGTCTATTTGTGTGTGTGTGTGTGTCCCAGGGCCCCTTCAGTGAGGTGTGGTATGGATGTCGAGATGACTGCCAGCCGGCGGCGTGGGCGGAGGACAAGTCGCTCCGCGCGGACGCGCACCCCGTCCCATATGCCCCAGTGGGTTGGGCGGGGTACTTGTCCACCTCGACTCGGGATGACAGAACTGTTGATTGAGGGGGGGGGAGGGGGGCGAAAGGAATGCTCCGCGGGAGCGCAGGAGCCGCCTGCCCACGACAAGAGTCTTCGGAGGGATCGGAGATTCCACTTTCTTGCTGTGCCGTGTGCACTTCGTCATTGATCCCGAGGCTTTGCCTCCTCCTGGCCTTGCCGTGAGGCCCCTCCTTCTGTCCCCCTCTTTGTTAATTCAAGCTTCGCGCGGCCCGCTTAGCGTCGACCGGAAGAGGTGCGCTCTCGACCCGCGAATCAAAAACGTGTGCACTTCGTCATGGCAGGAAGGCCCGGCTGCGCCTTCTCACCGCCGCCCCCCCCCCCTTTTTTTTCGCGGGGCCTGGGCGGGGCGGGGCGGGGCGGGGTGGTGGCGGGGGGGGCAGCATCCCCCCACCCAGAGGCGGGGAGTGGGGCGTTGCGGCTCCAGCTTCTGCCTCCTCCTCCCCTCTTCCACTCTCTGCTCCGTTTCGTTGCGGCCACCTTCCTTTTTCTGACGAGGCAGGGCTTCCTGGTATTACTCATTGTGTATCGCGCGTGGTGTTCTCCTCGTCCGAATTTCCTCGGCGGCTCCAGGTGGTGCTGTGGTCAAACTCGCTTCATGAGTTTCGTCCCGGTGGTGGTCCCATCCCAGTTCTTTTCATTCCTACGTGGCCCTCGCTGCACGTGCTGTCACCGTTGAGCAGTTGTCGTTGAGGCCCAACAGAACCTCCTTTTCCATGCTCGCAGATTGCGGAGTGGGGCTTTGCAGCAAACTGGTGCAAGGCCGACACCCACACCGTGACAGCATTCCAGTCTCCCTGGAGAGCTCTCTCCAGAGTTTTTGTTTGGTTTTTTCTTCCTGGCTCCTGGAAGTGCCACGTCCGGACACTTGGCCATACCCCCATTTGAGGGGATAGCAGCACAACGTGCTTGATTCCTCGGGGGAGGGGGACTATCCGTGCTCGCAAAATCCTTAGCACGGCAGGTGGAGACGGGAACCGAGGGGCAGCCCCAGCCCCTGATCGCAGAGCAGGGATGCACTGACGGACCGGGGAAGCAGCTCAGGCGGCAGCGCCTCGTCACCCCCATGGCTCCGCGTCCGCACTCCGCCCCTCCCCATCCCCAGACATCTGGCGCTCATTGGTTTGATTCATGGACCCCAGAGGTCTGGACAACTTCCCAACGCCGGCTTTTCATCCAGAGGTTTTTTTTCGTTTGTAAGTCCCGGGGCACGTTGAGGGCCCCCCAGAGGCCGAAGACTGCAATCAAACGGCCGCTTCAATTTTGTCGTCGTTTTCTTATTCATTGTTTTGCCGACCAGCGCGGGCCCTCGCACCCCCCCCCCTCCCCCCCCCATGGAGTAGATCTTGGCTATTTTTGGCGCCTGTTTCGAGCAGGCGGAGCCCCTGCCCCATAGGACGCATTGCTGCAGACAGCCGCATGCATTTAGCAGAGGTCTGGAGCCAGACCCCCCCCTCCCCCCCCCCCTTCGCCAAATGTCGAAATGCCGAATAAGAAAGCGCTCACTTTCCTGGAGCCTCTGGGTCCTGACCCCCCTCCTCTTCCTCCTCCTCCTCCACCACCTCCTTTTTCTCCTCCCACCTCTCCTCATTCCCCCTCCTCCTCCTGCCCCTGCTCCCCCTGCTCCCATTATTGCTCCCACCATACTCCCTTGCTCCTCTGCCTCCCTTCTCCTGCTCCCATCCACCGCTTACGTTCCCCAGTCTTTCTACAAATCCCACCTCGTCGCACCAACGGGCGTCTCGGTAGGGCGGTATCGGCGTCTCGCTTGAATATTCTACACACTTCGTGATCCTATGGCTTGGACATTCCAACAGTTGCACGATTGGAGAGCAGGCCATTCTCGAAACGTGGTAGTCGCATGAGACGCCTTGAATGATTGCCATCGTTGAGCTTCAATGTGCCAGCAGCTACACGGATTGAGGGCGTCTGTCTCGGTTTGGACGGTGATGCATGGTGATAGTGGTGATGCAGATGGTAAACCAAGTCTCTAGAGCATATGTAGTCGTTTTATGTATACGATGTCATCTAATCTTCTTCCTGCTAGATTTAATCAGATACCTTCAACCGTCTTTTCTCTATTCTCGGCTGTGCCCTCTCCTATAGGGTATGTGCTACCTGTCTTCTGTATTCACAGATGCGTGGTGTATCCACTATTTGGTATTGCTTACTGTGTTCGGCCCGCCCCTACTTGCTTCTCGACTGCCCGCTGTCTACCAATTGCTCTATCTGGTGTTACCCACTATTCTTCGCTCCCCACTGCCTGCGTATACCAGGAACTTTGAATGTTGTGCTGTCTACTCTCTATTGTGCTCCCTCTTTTCTTTAGTCTCTATACCCTTTGCTCCCTACTTCGGCTTCCACGCGCAACCCGCCGGCCCGCATGCGCCACTAGTATGCGCAACCCGCGCGCGCAGCCTTGCCAAATTCTAGTCCCGTGGGGGCCGCCTACGGACCGATTTCTTCTGCTCCTCCTCTTCCTCTTCCACACGCTCTCTCCAGATGTATACTTCAGAAAGAATATACACATAACGGCGCACCAGGGCCCGGGCCCCCGGGGCCGCGACCTCTACCACAAATGTGTGTGTGTGTGTGTGTGTGTGTGCGTGTGTGCGTGCGTGCGTGCGCGCGTGTGTGCGTGTGTGCGTGTGCGCGTGTGTGCGTGTGTGCGTGTGCGCGTGTGCGCGTGCGC